AACTAAAGCAAAACAGTATTCTTTTGATTAACGCTTTAATGAAAGGTAAACATTCACATTTCTACACTCTGTCACAATGCCAGATAACTCAGCGTTACATTGTCACCATTCTTTTCCTTTATGTGCCATATCCCTTTGGGACGTAGTCGATCATGGCTCTCCACAATTTTCTTCCATTCGTAGCTCTAAAAGAATTTTTGTCTTTTTGTTATTTCTCCAAAATCTTCTTCCGCCATTTACTCGGGCTCTCTAGATTGGTTGTGCGTTGTTTTCCTCTGTCCTGTGAGTATCAGTATTTCGAAGCCCTCTTTCCTCATTGTTATGGTGACCTATCTACATTAGAATGAACTCTTCCTTGTTTGAGGCTCTCATATTAACCTGCCAGAACTTCCTAGGTATTGCATTCGACACACAGTCTCTTACTGTTAGATTCCTACGAGACTCTCTACTTCGAGGAACTTTGCCTTTCAGATTTGTCCGGGAGGTAGACAGATCCTGAACCCGTCTTATGCGGGTTCTAAAGGAAATATTTTTGGCCGAAACGGGCTCGGAGAAACCCACGTTAAACTCGGCCTTGTTCCACATACATTCTTCGTGGGTGGGAATGTTAAATATCGGCAGTCGTGTTTTTCTCTGACTGTGTGTGACTTCTGTCGAACTCTCTGCTTTGGCAGAGAGGAACCCAGACGAAAAATTGCCGAAGGGCAAAGTTTCGTCCGGGGGAGGTTCTCTATGCCCTGAACCCCATCTAATCGGTTTTTGAAAGGTATATTTTTTGGCCGAGCCTACGGGCTCGGAGAAACCCACATTAAACTCGGCCTTATGCCACATACCTTCCTCGTGGGGGGACTGTTAAATTTTCACCAGTCGGGACGCAGTGTAACTTGACATTTCGGACGGACACTTCTATCTGCTGACTAATAACACTCTTGTTTTGTATATATGTTCTGTTATTTCAATACACTTCTTCTTTCCGTGTCTTTCTTTCTGGCCCATAACAGGCCAAAATACTCATTATGCGCCATTTCAACTATTCGTTCCTGATGTTAAGTGTAAGTTTCCTTTTCGATTCCATTTTCTCTGAAACTTCGGCGCTGCTCACACATTTATGGTATCCTCAGCATCCTTCTGTAGAACCACATTTCTGTTGCTTCAAGTCTCTTCTTAATATCTGAAGAGATTGTCCGGCATTCACTGCCATATATGAGGACTGATATCACGTAACAGTTCAGTACTAGTAACAATAATGAAAATTGTTATTAATTATTACTGTAGTTATTAACATTCAGAGTGACAGTGATGGCCTATGAGTTATTTTGGCGTGGATTCTATAATTGCAGTTCTGTCCAATTTTATTACTCTTACTGTTTTGTCTCTAGAACTTTATCATTTCCCACATGTTCGATCCATGGTATTCTCAGCATCCTTCTGTAGAACCACATTTCTGTTGATTCAAGTCTCTTCTTTATCTGTCAGATTATTCACCATTCACTACCATATCAGAGGACCGGACTGAATAACAGACAGTAAATATATAGGCAAATTATTCTAGTATATCTCAGTCCAAGCAAAAATAGCATAAAAAGAAGTTCCCCCTCGTTGCCAATCCTGACAGGAACTAATGTTGGTCCTGGACATCCTTATATTGAGTAATGAGTTCGATCCTCAGCGGGTACCTCATAGTTTTCTCTTTATATCTTGATAATTTTAGCTAGTTAATTTGTTTAACGATATCAACTCCATTGTGTCATTTAAAAAAAATTTGAAATAATAAAAATATATGTTATTCTGCTTTCACAACTGAATACATGGTATATGATACTCAGCATTTCTGTATATACAAGTGTTTGTGGACATAATTACTAGAGGCGGTGATATATGTCGTTTATGTTTTATTTTTAGATATTTTGGAATACAGTTTCATTTAAGAAATTGTAGGATATATGGATTGATGTCATGAAAATTCATGTTGATTGATCGGTTGATTTTGTTCAGCGGCATATCAACAACTCTATGGGTTATTTTATGCCGAAATGGAAATTTATGAATAGAAATTTTTGGCTTATATACATATATATATATATATATATATATATATATATATATATATATAAAGAAATATAGTCTTAAGGTGTGCTATATTTATGGGATAAAGTGCTCAATATCAGAGATATAGAGCGTTATGTGTGTGTGATGTGGCTTCAAATTGCATATAGCATGAAACAGACTGTCGCCTCTAAGTGTTGACTTCTATGTTCACTTTTATATATATATATATATTGAACGACATTTTATGCCTTCAACTACAGATAAAATGTATTGTTGGTCATGTATTGTCGGTCTGTTTTATATAAAAATGTATTGCTGGTATCTTTATTATGAAAATGAATTTTTATACTTTCATAATGTTTTTTGATTGCTGTTGGGGGTGCTAACTATTTGCCCACAGCTGGGACTCTAACAGGTACTACCACCTCAAGCCAGAGTGGTCCTGAGAATAATAACCAATGTGGTTACATACACCTCAAAACCTCCAGTCTCCCGATCAGAGGCATTGCTGTCAGATATAGTTTCTCGTCATACCCAGGACGTGATAAGCTTAGCAAATACCTGTTGCAACGAGTGTGATTCCGTTAACCCTAAATCTAACCCTAACAAATTCCTTCGTATCTTCGGACAGTTTTTCGAATAAATCCACTGGGCCCGAACTGCTCGCTTTACGTGATAAAGCCAGCTATTTATTTATGTCTAAAAAGCCGCCAAATATAAACGGATAATCGACTTCTGTCCGGTTTATTTTAAGCCTCTTCGTAACCAGCGGGTAAATTGCATCAGGTGTGGGGAGGTAATCGGTAAAATTAAACCTGCGAGCGACACTTTAAAACGGCCAATCAGGGTAACTATCTTGGCTGTCATTAATGCAATTGCGGACGGCAAGATCATATATTCTGAACGAACTCAAAGTTTGCTTTTTGCATTTTGTTTTTTGTATTTTGTTTTCTTTGTGTGTTTTTTTATAAACAGATTGAAATGTGTTATTAATACGCGTAATTGCAGTATTAAAATAAATCTTTTGTATGCTTTAATCTTTTAAATCACAATAGACCCCGAAGTTTAGGATGACGTCATGTGAATTTTTTTTTTTTTTTATTTTGGTTTGTTAAACGGCATAATTTTCTTGGGAGCATTAATAATTTTCTTTTACAAAAATGTATTGCTAGTAATCTTTTCTTCAAAAATGTACCTGATGGTACTATATATTTTTTATAAAAATGTATTACTGGTAATAGTTTTTATTTTTATTTTAAATTGTATTATTAGTATTTTTTTTTTTTTGCTTACAAAAATGTATTGTTGTTAATAGTTTTTTGTTATTTTTTAAATAGTCTATTGCGGATAATGTGTTTTTTTTTTTTTTTGTTTTTTTTTTTTAGAAAATGTATTGCTGGTAATTCCTTTACTATAAAAATGCATTGCTGTTTTTTCTACTACAAAAATGTATTTTTATACTTTCATAGTGTTTTGACCCCAGTTTAGGGGTTAACTCTTTTCCCATAGCTGGGGCCATAACAGGTGCTACCACACAATGTCAGGGTGGACCTGAGAACAACAGCAATTAACTGGTGGTTCTGCGCTCATTCAAAACCTGTTTATCAGAAGCCTTGCTGCCAGATGTAGTTTATCATCATCCCAGAACGACAGATTTTATGTATAGACTTCGCGTGAAGAATAAACCGAAACTGTAAACTTTGTATAAATCCACATAAAAAAAATTCAAGCAATATCTTGAACTGAAGGCAGAACGAAGTAGAAAGATTATATTGAATCAATTGCTCGGTCTGCTGCTAGGAAAGCTAGTTCACGATGTCGTGCAAGACAATTTCTCTCTCAAGAATCTATCTTGTGCATTTATAAATGTATCAATCGTCTCGGTATTGAATATGCTGCCAAATCTGGTGTAGTGCTACTGTTTTATATCTAGAAGTTCTTAACAAAATTCTAAGATAATCTGCAATGTTATCGGTCCGAACCACCTATCTCGGCTTCTGTCACTTCCTCACCGCCGTAACGTAGCATCCCTTTGCCACTTCTACAAATATTTTCACGGTAATTGATCTGATGAGTTCTCCCCATTGCCAACACGACTTCATGAACTTAAGCGCAATACTAGATTGGCAACTAGGTCTCATAATTTCATTTTTGAAATACCTAGCTGTAATCATAAGCACTATGTTAATAGTTTCTTCGCTTGCACTTCTCGCTTGTGAAACTTTCTGTCAACTACGAACTTCAAATATTTAGATGCACTATCAATAGTTATATTCTCTTTTAGAAACCCGTTCTTCTATTGTCTTCTCCATTTGTTTCACATTCAGTAATTATTTGGGTGCTACTCGTTTTTATTGCATTCCTGCGTATTCAATAATTAAAAAGATATGAGATGCTGGTCAATGTACTAGATTGGCAGTTAGGTCTCATAATTTAAATATTGAAATTTCGAGTTGTAACCACAAGTTAATAATTTTTGTTCTTGCACTTCTCGCTGGTGGGACTCTTTACCGTCTTCTATGCTTCTCTATCAACTACTGTGTTCAAAAATTTAAATGCAATGTCAATCGTCATCTTCTGTCACTTTGAACCTTGTTCTGCTGTTGTTTTCTCAGTTTCTTTCATTCTCAGTAATCATTTGCATCCCACTGGTTCTTATTGCATTGATTTGTGCACAATAATTTAAAAAAATACGATGTGCAGCTCAATACTAGATTGGCAGTTAGGTCTCATAATTTAATTATTGAAATTTCTAGTTGTAACCATAACTATGTGAATAGTTTCTTCTCTTGTACTTCCCACTTGTTTAGCACCCTTCCGGCTTCGCTGCTTATCTGTCAACTACGGTCTTCAAAAATTTCAATGTCAGTCTTTATCTTTTGTCTTGTTGAAACCTGTTCTATTATTTTCCTATCTATTTGTTTCATCCTCAGTATCCTCTTGCATCCTACTGTTTTTAGTGCTCTCTTGGTGTGATAGATTGATAGATAGATAGATAGATAGATAGATAGATAGATAGATAGATAGATAGCAAAAGATTTCCTAAGGTAAGAAATGTAAGAAATTGTATTGATACTCTAACAAAGAAACGCCCGTATTTTTGAACTGTTGACTCAAATGTACCGAATTCGATCTTATTACTCAAAATCGATTTCTCCGAATCATTCGATATCCGGTCATTTATATACACTGGCATTCAGCCAGATAAAAGTTGCAGAATCTGACATCACAGATGTATTGAGCTTAATTTTCATTGAACTGACATCCACCAAAACTAAGTGGTTATTTATTTAAATCGTGACACATATTTTCCTTAATTCTGTAATTTGTTTGATAAGCCAACTTAAGAATCTCAGTAATTTATATTTAACTCACACACACACACACACACACACACACACACACACATATATATATATATATATATATATATATATATATATATATATATATATATATATATTTGTCATCTCAGAGAGACTGTTTCGCTGTTTCACAGCTCATCAGTGTGGCTAGACATTCGATTTCAAACACAGTTTTTATGAAGGTACACCGTCAGCAAAAGAAATAACAGATACATGTAGGAAATAGCAAAATCTTAGATTTTGAACTCTTGTATATCAATTATGTAATAAATATATTTGGTACTCTATGTCATTTTTATAATCCAAGATACTTGCATTTAAAATGTGTCCCGTCATTATGGCACACCATATATATATATATATATATATATATATATATTA